TCACGCAGCGACCTTGGAACACTGCACCAGTATCGTCGCGATTTGCGTGCACGCCGATCGATGGGACTGCCCTGCCGGCTCGAACTCGCGACGACGACGACGACGACGACGACGCGGCTTCTTCCAGCTAGCCTCGGACGGAAGCGAGCGATACCGTCGAATGGGAAAAGATTGATCGCGAACCGCGGAAACGGCCGCGAGGCACGTGCACCGTCCGAGTAACATGAACCATCGGCTGCCCGAACGATAAGTCATGTTCAGCAGGTTCGAGCTGCTCCAGGGTGCTGTCAGCTACCTTCTGCGATCAGGTACGCCGATCGAGAACTGCCCGGCGATCGCCTGTCGATACATACGGCTCTGAAAACTGCTTAAATCACGCAGAAACCGCGGCAACTATCACGCGATCTTTGTGTATTTTTTTTCTAGATAATTATTGGTCTCAGGCGAATTATGTTTATTGGGTGGGTGGATAAATCCTTGAGCTACAAGAATATATTGTTTTTAGGTATATTGTTTCAGTTTTAATTGATTTAATTCAATTTTGATTTAATTGGTGGAGAAAAGTATCCGTTGCGAGTAAATTATAATAATAATAATTATTATAATAATAATGAAAATGTAATCAATACGATTGCAATGTACGAAACAAACATAAATTAAACATCCTAGCTTCTGAGCCAGGATTTTTGAGCTGCAAAAATCGACAAGCGATTCATTTTCAAACCATTGCCTTAAAGTGTGCAATAATTTCAAAATAATTAACGCTACGAGAAAATATTTTTTTCAATCGAATTTGTTCACTGGCTCGTTGTACGTCGTATGATAAAATATAGCTACTGCCGGTGTAACAGCGAATAAATGAGAACAACGAACGCGTAACAATGTATTTCTTCAAATTATATATTTTATTATACGGTAATTGCCCAGATAATTAAAATTTGACCTTTAATATCGAACTCGTTCGTTCGAAATCAATGAAATTTCCACGGAAGAAACAGACGAGAGAAAATAAATAAATTTGCTAGTCTATCTTTGTCAAACAATTTTACGAGAGAAGCTCTCTTATACAAAGAAAGCATAGAAACCTTAAGGGTCGATTTCGTGAAATGATTCCTCTCGCAATTTCCTTAACGAGTACCTCGAGCCTTCGTTAAAATCAAAATCGTTCGAGGCTCCTGCCTACCAAGGTCCTTCGGCAACCTTCTCAAGTCGGAGCCAATTATTCAAAGTCTCTCCTCCCTCTTTTATTCTCACCTTTCCCAATGACTGCTACGTAAACTTCTAAATCTCTTAGAAAGTCAGATCAAATACAACGCGACGAGGAATGCGGAACACAAGCCTGCGTATAAACGAAAGTTATTTCGAAAATAACAAGCCCTCGCGATTTGCGAGGGGGCCACTTCACTTAATCCTCGGCGTGAAGTTTTTTTCTCCTTCGGGAAGGAATACGTTTTTGCACGACGCGTAATATGTTCGTCCGGTGTTTACAAACAACGCGGCAAACTGAGCGGTCTTCTGGGAACTGTGCCTATGTGTGTGTGTGTATGTCGTTCTTTGGACTGGCGACTATTTCTTCAATTACCATAATATTTTAAAACTACGTACATCGTTCAGTTTTCAAACTTCTGTCATATTGATAGAATAGAAGCATGATTATCGAAATTTTAATAATCTTGAATTATTTCAGTATTTTCTGTTATCGGTAAAAATGAAAGTATAAAACCTATCGATTTTGAATGAATTTTATTGATTTTGATCGCACACTGTACGATAAAATAGAATAAAATAGAACAAGAAAATAAAATAGAATAGAATAAAATAGAACAGGATAAAATGGAACAAGAAAATAAAATAGAATAGAATAAAGTAGAACAAGAAAATAAAATAAAATAGAATAAAATAGAACAAGAAAATAAAATAAAATAGAATAGAATAAAATAGAACAAGAAAATAAAATAGGATAGAGTAAAATACAACAAGAAAATAAAATAGAGTAAAATAGAACAAAAAAATAAAATAGAATAGAATAAAATAAAATACACTAAATCAAACTCAAATAAAATACAATAATACAATAATTTCTACAACGAACGTACCAATTGTACGTATTGGGCAATAATAAATCAAGCTACCTAACAATTGTCCGTTTGCAAGAGAATCATATATTTTCCTGTACAGTTTAATTGTTCATTTTAGTCGCATTCGCTAAGAAAATCGACCACCGTGCGACGGTTTCCGACAGGCTTGTGACGCGGTTTCGCGATTACGCATTCCCGTGCCCCGCGGTACTCGCCGGCATTAATTGTTCCCCGATATCGACCGCGATTGCGCGTGTCATTGATTGATCGCCACTTATCCGTTCGAACGGCTCGCGGGGGCCTACCGAACAGTGATAATTAGCCGCTGGAACACTGCCAGGGAATTTCGTAGCTTTTGTTAAAAGCGGCAGTTACGAGGACCCGATGTAACGCGGCCTGCCGAGTGGTCCAACGATCGCCGAACGATTAATCATCCCCCTAATTGGACATCGCGACGCGTCTAACCCCGTATAATCGTATATTAATCGCGCTGCATATGGAATTCATTAACGCCCGGCGAACGGATCGAAAATCCCGGCCGATCGATCCTGGTTCGTCGACTTTCCTGCGATCGTTTTCACGAACCTTCGATTCTCGGGGAATTGGTTTTGGTGAATGGTTTCGTTGCAATCGAAATTCTCTGCGTTCACTGTAGAAGATGCATTTATTTTAATTAGTCGGTGAGCAGCGCTTTTAAATTCCTTGGATATTCTTTTTCTAGCTTTTCTAGTCAACCGATTGTTTGCTTTTGATAATGCTTGTATAATAATCGTCGTGACAGAAATTCTTCCAATTTATTCGTGACGAGTATACTCGTCAAACACAGCTAAGTTAAATTAAAATAAATATATGTACATACTTTGATATTATTCATTAAGTTATATGTTTTATAAAAGTGTTGCATTCAAACAAAATTTGAAGGAAATCAAACGTGTACAGTGTAATTACAGTAACTCGCACACTTTTCAAGAAGATTGCAACTGCTAATGAACATAGCAGGTTAAGAGATAAATACCAGATAATGCAAAATATATTATCGCCTCGAATCATTCGCGAATCATTTCTAAAACTATGCCGCGAAATCTTGCTTTTACCGTATTCATTTGATTTGCGAAGCTGCGAGGTCGCAATGCTTCGATCTGCATACCGATGGGAGGGGTCATTTCGCCGGCAAAATCCGAGCAAAATGCAGGGAAATGCATCCATCCTCGGGCGGAGGCTGCAGCCGATGTTCCAGGCTGTTTCTAGAGCAGAATTTTATTTCGCCCTGCGATCGAACCCGGCCGAACGGCCGTTGTTAAGTCGCAACCCTCTCTGCCGAGGCCGAGCTCCCCTTTTTCCCTTGTTCCGCCATCTTTCTCTCTCTCCTTTGACCCAGTCCCAAGCCTTGTCCTCCTCTGTCGCAGCCCCTTTCCCATGACGTGCGTGCATACGTACGTGCGTGCATACGTACGTGCGTGCGTGCGTACGTGCGTACGTGCTTGCTCGCACGTTGCATTCTATTGTTTACGCGACGCCTCCTCTCTCTGTTACTCTACCCCCGATCTCCCTTCGCTCTCCTTTCCCCCTTTTCTTCTCTCTTCCGCGCCCTCCGTCTCTTTCTTTCGTTTCCTCCTGCTTCGTATTTCTTTTTCTATTTATTTCTCCTCCACTCTGTGTCTCTCTCTTTATTTCTGTTCCACTCTCTTTATTCTCTCTCTCTCTCTCTATTTCTTTTTCTCTCAAATTTCTCTCTCTCTCTCGCTCTCTCTCTATTTCTTTTTCTCAAATTTCTCTCTCTCTCTCTCTCTCTCTTTCTCTATTTCTCTATTTCTTTTTCTCTCAAATTTCTTTCTCTCTCTCTCTCTCTCTCTATTTCTTTCTCCCTATATTTCTTTTTCTCTCTATTTCTCTTTCCTTTTTATTTACGCAACTGTACCCTCCAAGTTGAGATTATTCTGAAATCTTTATTACACACTTAACATTTACGATATTAAACTTATGCTAGTATCTACAAGTAAATAGGGCAATAATTATAATACATCAAGGCACTTGATTGGTCGTAATAGCGATGTTATACATATAATCGGCAATATCTCTCCATCTCTTTTTCTCTTTCACCCCTTGTTCCTTGCGAGCCGCCCAGGGGGTTACGCGATCCAAGTCGATCCACAAAGATCTCGCCTTTAGAATTTGACTATGACCTCTTCGGTGACCTAAACTTAGGGGACCGAGTAGTAGGGCACGTTTGCTTCCGAGGTCTCTCTCTCTCTCTCCCTCTCTCTGACTCTGACTCCGGGGACACTTACTCTAATACATCCTGTTCGTCCAGACCCTCGAAGTTGCTGGGGAAAGTTTTGCCACGGGGTGAGACTGATTGGCTGTGCTCCTTTTTATACCGTTTTAGCTTCTACAGTGAATTGCTCGGTGTTCCCTTTCGATGGGAATAAATTCTGCGCGAAGGCCGCGGAGCAGAGATTTGCTTGTCCGGAGAGAGTTCGCCGAGGTTCTTTCGGTTAACCTTCTGCGCGTGCAAGAAATAAGTTTGAAATTTGCTTGCTCGTATATTGACCAACTTCTGTCTTTTTATCGGACTGCAGATTTTACATGTTTTTTTGTCGAAAATGATAGGGTTGATTTTAACACTTCGATTGTCCGCGCGTCACCCAAATATGGACGACGATATTATTCACTTAGATCTGGAGATTAATTTGTACGCTGATAAATTATAATTTATAAATATTACAATTATAATTTTATAATTAATTAATTATTTATTTATTATAAATATTAATATAAATATTAATTCATAAATATTAATTGATGCCACACAACTATGCTTTGCAATTTTTATTCGATTGAATAAAATGGTTTAATTTTATGTGATTGTCGTGGTTGCTTTCGTCGCCGATGCTAATTACCACCCCTTTTTCTCTGTTACAGAACGCGAGCGCCAGAGCGCCAGCAGACTCTCCGCGTAAGTATCTTATAAATTCTATGCTGAAGAAACGCTGTGCCATATTTGTCGGGGGGAAAACGGCGGCATCGGTGATACATATTCCGATTCGCCGGGAAAATTTATGGTTGTCGGGGACAGGAAAGAAACAAGCTTTCCGATCGGTGCTCTCGCTGTTCCGCGAAATCGGGGACACGAGGCTAGGTGAACACGATCGATATCGGACCGCAATCAATCCGCCGGATCGATTATAAACAGCAGCGCGAGTTTCCCGGCGCGCTTTGGCCGCGCGTCAATTAAATTCTTCCTCCGATTGGAGCCCGCTCTTCCGGCCCGGTATCTCCATTTTTTTCCGGCGAGACTCGCGCTTGTTTGTTCCAACGGTTTTACAGCTGGAAGTCCCGTAGGAATCGGCGAGCGATTTTATGATTTTCTGCTGGCACAATGATTTCGTCGTCTGTGCGGATATTTTCAGGATGTTTTAACCCCTTCAAGTATTTCTGTCTAATTGTTTAATTATCCGCTGTCGGACTCGGTCGGAGACGATCGATTTCTCTTTTTCTTTCTTTTTTTGAGAAAGTGCAATTTGACGATTAGTTCTAGCAAATTTGGAAGCGAGATATCGAGTTCTAATAACGGAAACGATGTTCTGGAACGTTCCAATTGTATTCCCAAATTTTTTGCCGTCGATTGTATCGCTAGTTTTTGAGTGACGGTTGCTCGAAAATTGTACGACGTACTGCGTCGCATAGGAAGTGTGACAGCGGAGGGGTTGATCTAGTTTTCACTAGATTGTCAAAGAAAATTAACGTCATTCGATGCTCCGGTGGTAGAAGCTCTTGTGCAATACAGAGTTTATACGGTTTATAACAATTCTTTGTTAATCTGTTAACGCACAAATATTTTCGTCTGTGTGTCATTCGAGAATTGTAAATCGGTTAATAATGATTGTAATTCGATTGTCGGAAAAAGAAATGATTTCATTCACCCTTTGCACTGCAAAGTATGTTCTGCCTTTCGTTTCAAAATTTATTATAACGTTGCAAATAATTCGGAAGTATTCCCATGTAACTTTGCAATTTAATTAGAACAGTAGAGGAACACTGTAATTATCGTTATTACGTAATATGTGGTCCAGTGAAGTTAATGTAAAATTATTTGATTATAAAATGTTATTCTTACTTGTTCGAAGTTCTGGACTGTCATTATTTCAATTACATTGTTATTTCGATTATATTTTTATTTCAATTACATTGTTATTTCGATTATATTTTTATTTCNGAAATAAGTTTGAAATTTGCTTGCTCGTATATTGACCAACTTCTGTCTTTTTATCGGACTGCAGATTTTACATGTTTTTTTGTCGAAAATGATAGGGTTGATTTTAACACTTCGATTGTCCGCGCGTCACCCAAATATGGACGACGATATTATTCACTTAGATCTGGAGATTAATTTGTACGCTGATAAATTATAATTTATAAATATTACAATTATAATTTTATAATTAATTAATTATTTATTTATTATAAATATTAATATAAATATTAATTCATAAATATTAATTGATGCCACACAACTATGCTTTGCAATTTTTATTCGATTGAATAAAATGGTTTAATTTTATGTGATTGTCGTGGTTGCTTTCGTCGCCGATGCTAATTACCACCCCTTTTTCTCTGTTACAGAACGCGAGCGCCAGAGCGCCAGCAGACTCTCCGCGTAAGTATCTTATAAATTCTATGCTGAAGAAACGCTGTGCCATATTTGTCGGGGGGAAAACGGCGGCATCGGTGATACATATTCCGATTCGCCGGGAAAATTTATGGTTGTCGGGGACAGGAAAGAAACAAGCTTTCCGATCGGTGCTCTCGCTGTTCCGCGAAATCGGGGACACGAGGCTAGGTGAACACGATCGATATCGGACCGCAATCAATCCGCCGGATCGATTATAAACAGCAGCGCGAGTTTCCCGGCGCGCTTTGGCCGCGCGTCAATTAAATTCTTCCTCCGATTGGAGCCCGCTCTTCCGGCCCGGTATCTCCATTTTTTTCCGGCGAGACTCGCGCTTGTTTGTTCCAACGGTTTTACAGCTGGAAGTCCCGTAGGAATCGGCGAGCGATTTTATGATTTTCTGCTGGCACAATGATTTCGTCGTCTGTGCGGATATTTTCAGGATGTTTTAACCCCTTCAAGTATTTCTGTCTAATTGTTTAATTATCCGCTGTCGGACTCGGTCGGAGACGATCGATTTCTCTTTTTCTTTCTTTTTTTGAGAAAGTGCAATTTGACGATTAGTTCTAGCAAATTTGGAAGCGAGATATCGAGTTCTAATAACGGAAACGATGTTCTGGAACGTTCCAATTGTATTCCCAAATTTTTTGCCGTCGATTGTATCGCTAGTTTTTGAGTGACGGTTGCTCGAAAATTGTACGACGTACTGCGTCGCATAGGAAGTGTGACAGCGGAGGGGTTGATCTAGTTTTCACTAGATTGTCAAAGAAAATTAACGTCATTCGATGCTCCGGTGGTAGAAGCTCTTGTGCAATACAGAGTTTATACGGTTTATAACAATTCTTTGTTAATCTGTTAACGCACAAATATTTTCGTCTGTGTGTCATTCGAGAATTGTAAATCGGTTAATAATGATTGTAATTCGATTGTCGGAAAAAGAAATGATTTCATTCACCCTTTGCACTGCAAAGTATGTTCTGCCTTTCGTTTCAAAATTTATTATAACGTTGCAAATAATTCGGAAGTATTCCCATGTAACTTTGCAATTTAATTAGAACAGTAGAGGAACACTGTAATTATCGTTATTACGTAATATGTGGTCCAGTGAAGTTAATGTAAAATTATTTGATTATAAAATGTTATTCTTACTTGTTCGAAGTTCTGGACTGTCATTATTTCAATTACATTGTTATTTCGATTATATTTTTATTTCAATTACATTGTTATTTCGATTACATTGTGTTTCAATTACATTGTTATTTCGATTACATTTTTATTCCAATTACATTGTTATTTCGATTACATTGTGTTACAATTACATTGTGTTTCAATCACATTGTATTTCAATTACATTGTTGTTTCTATTACATTTTTATTTCAATTACATTTTTATTTCAATTACATTGTATTCCAATTGGATTTTATTCGAATGACACTCGCGATTAAAATAATTGGCAATTCAATTAACTGAAAGGCTCGAATTACGTAATTGAATTACACCGTACCGTTGAATTGCTATACAATCGAAATACACGATGCAATTAAATTGCGAAATTGAGTTACAATGCAATAGTCGAATTACCGCAGCTCTGAGATGCGACGCCATTGTTTGTTGTTTTGGGGACGGATACTGAACTTGGCAAAATTGACAGTAACATTGCACTTGCGCTGAGAAAAATAGGTAATCACGATCCTCGGGTATGCACGTTAGGGGAACACCGTGCACAAAGACGTTCGCGTGCTTCCCACGCATCGGCAGGAAGCTGCGTCGCTGCTCCGTATGTTTGTAAACTTCCGGTACGCGTTGCATGTCTTTCCGACTCGGGCTCAATTGCATACCGACGCCGAACAACGCCGGTATGCAGTTTTCATAGTGAAAGTGGGACGAGCACAGTCACCGGCTGCGGATATTTTACAATTTTTTTCATCCGCAAGCTTTCGAATTTATTCGAAAGTCCAAGTCACTCGAACAGATGGGGGGAGGGGAACATTGAATTTTTCAGAAGAATTTTGCGAAATTAAACCGGAGGCGATAACGCAGGATGTTTTCATAGAGGAAAGTTGAACTAGTTTTTCGTGTGAAATCGGCGAATTGCGGTTAGGAAAACACCGACGACGGTATCGCGGATCGGTGGAAATTGCTTTTCGTAAGACCGGCGTTGAGAAATCGAATTTAATCATGGAAATGCACTGATAAGAAGTTCGCTGATGAAATGTTGTATTGACGCAACTGGGTTAATCGTACGTGACACGTGTTGAACGCGATCCCGCTATATACTTTGCTATCTAAAGAAGAAAAACACAGATGCGAATGAATGTTTTCCGAACTGTCTGTCGAACGATTCCGTAGCAGTTGCTGCGTTGCTTAATTGGATCATGTTGAAATCACTGTTTTTTTTCTTCGAAAATCGTAACTGAATCACAACTTGCATAGATCAATCCTCGGGAAATTTTTTTTATTAATTATCAGTCGAAAACATCGGATCAACAGACTTCATCTAAATAATTATTTATTACCGCGAACAGCAAGAACCGAAAGCAACGATCATGTCGTAAACATTCTCGAGACCGAATCTACCATGGACAATTTTATAGTTGCCCGAAGTATCTATGAAAATGATTTACGTTGATTCGAACGTTCCCAAAATAATCTTCCACGTTTCTCACCGTTCATGACGAGACCGTTATTATGATTTCGCGAATCTTTACACGAAATAAAAGCTGTCTAAATTAATTTTGTGGAACGTAAATTCGATAAAAATCATTTTCCTCTTCTAATTAATCGTAAGAAGTTGAAAATGATGTAACAAGATTCTCAAATGCTATCAATATCGTTACGGTCTTATATTTGTGACTGTCCATGTTTGCCATAAATCGCATTAAAGCCGCAGTCTAACGATGACAATAAACAGGAATCGATAGGAAACCTCCCGCGGTTGCCGCGGTTCAATTATGCTCTTTATCGTGGCGCGCATGAAATCTCTAAACCATTCAAGGCCGCGGTCCGAAGGTCACGGTTTAACGTCGCTTAATAATCCACCGGTTCGTCATATCAATTTAGCATAATAGAGACTGCTTAAAAGGGTAGACTTTACACGATCGACTGCACAGGAAACATAAATATTTTACGGGTATCGACAGGAGCACTTTGCGCGGCGCAAACTCCGCGTCGAACTCGGGCCGAACTCGGGCCGCGAGTTTGTCGCGCGTAAAGCATCTTGTTTTGCTGTCCATTTCGAATCGATGTAAATAATACATATGCACTAGCGATTAGCTATTTACGGGCC